CTTGACCAATAGAAAATGCTCGAAAGGGGGTGTTCATGCCCAACAGAGAGAACGACGAGCTTACACGCACCCTGGGAAATCCTGAACACCCAGGAAGAACACGAGGCAAGGGCGTTATTCCCTGGTATGAGGGCTTTTCGAAATGGAACCACGACTACAGGACCCGTGCAAGAAAGAAGATGGAGGAGGAGAAGAAGAGGAAGCTGGAGGAGGAGCAGAGGAAGCAGGACGCAGAACGCCTTCAAGGCCTAGAAGCAAGGCACGCGGACTTGGCACTCAAATTCCAGCAGCAGCAGCAGCAGATCGACTCACTTAGCCAGGAAAGGGGGTCTCAGCAGCGGCAGCAGCAAGTGGATGATCATCCAACATCGGATAGCACCGTCCCATCTATGCCAAGAAGCAGCGTTGGTTCCGCCCCGGGCGACACACTGCTGGATACATACCCTATGGATGACATCATAGAGAACACTAACTCGGAGCTACACTCCAAAATGAAGAACATATCCATAAAGGTGGCGGACGCTGTTGCTTTTACAATTACCCCTGAAGCAACCTTCCATTGCAGCCCGATTCCAGTGGGCTATGCTCGTGTCTTGGTTGATGAAGTGGTGGACCCATATTCGGGGCTACAGCTTGTCATTCCTGGAGGTGACGACGAGCGCACATTGGGAGAGGCCATACATCGTATCATCCTATGGAGAAATGATTGCATCATCTTTCAAAGTCCACCGACACCGCGTCTGCCGACTCCTCCTAGAAGTCCGCCACCGAGTCAGCAGACTCCCGCTCCTCCAAGTCCACAAACGCGTGAGCCGACTCCTCCTCTAAGTCCGCCACCTCCTCCAAGTCCACGAACGCGTGAGCAGACTCCTACTTCAAGTCTGGCACAACGTCAGGCCACTCCTCCTGTTTCAAGTCCGACACCGTGTCAGGCCACACCTCCTGCTTCAAGTCTGGCACAGCGTCAAACCACTCCTCCTGCTCCAACTCAGCCACGTCGGCCGTCTCCGCCGTCTCAGCAATCGCAGAAGAGACACGCCGCAACTATGGTGTGTAGCGGTATGAGTCGAGGTAGTACAGGAAGTACAGGCGGAGACAAGCGATATAAATATGGTCCAAGCCTTGCTCCTCTTCCTCAGAGGCCTTACGACATGACCGAGGAGCAAAACGCAGCCATAGTGTGGGCCCAAGTGGACACCCATTTTGGACCGAAACCGGCACCACCGCCAAGGGAGAAAGTGCCTGAGAAAGTTATTGACCACTTTATTCATATGGCAAGAAAACCAGCTCCCAAGCCTGTTGACTCAGACTATGAGCGCCAACTCAGGAAGCTACATCGAGCACGACTACAGAAGGAAGCGAGCTTGAGCTCGAGCCAACAAGCAGCTGTCAAAAAATGTGGCAAAACCGTTCCCCAGCTGGGAGAACAGGCGACACAATCGATCCCCCCGCTTGTTGTGCCAACAACACATGAGAGTACGCGCGCCCAATATTATTGTGGGCAAACCATTAACTTTCCCCGCCTGGGTGATGTGGTAATAATCGAGGAGCATATAATGCAGGCTGAAATGCTCAAGATCACCATTGGACAACTCCTCGAAATCGAGCCCATGTCTCCGCTTAGAGAGGAGGAAATAAAATGGAAATATGTCCGGGGCCAACCTTTGGTCGAGCCAGAAAAGGTCAAGAACCTCCCAACGAGAATGTATGAATTGCATCAATGGTACATGAACATTACCAAGATTACCAGTCGAGAGTCCCTCATGGTGAATGTCAAGGAGGAGCATTACTTCCATGAGAAAGCTCTGTTCGTTGAGTATTCGGAACTATTTCAGTTATACAATCAAGACGCACACGACAAATCTATCGTTAGTTGATATTGTCTGTAAGTGATTTCTTTTTGTAATTTAAGTCTCAAGCTAGCTCTAGTGATCATTTTGATCAATCATTACATGTAATTATCCTCACTATATCCTTTTCTGTGGTATTATATGCAGGATGAAGATGTATGAAATGAAAAAATCTGGATGCTATGGCATTGGGTTCATTGACCCAAATACCATTTATGAGTACACATGGAATCTTCCAAGTTGTCGAGTAAGTTTAGAGGAAAGCATGCTAGAGTTCTTCAAGCGCCTCAATACCAATGAAGATATACTAATTCGTTACAACTTCCTGTGAGTCACACTGTCTTGTACTACAAATTCTGTTTTTGCTTACTAGCTAGCTAGATGTTAATAATTAAGTGTATAGGGTTTACGGTAGTTGATTAGTGTTATGCACATGCCCACTTAATTAAGACATGCAAACGTGTGCGCATGCAGTTTCCACTGGATCTTATTAGACATTAAAGTTGACGAAGGAAAAGTTGAAGTACTGGACTCACTGCTTAAAAAAGAAAGTGACTACACCATCTTGAAGGGGATAGTCAACAGGTAATTTCAATCATTATTAACTATATATCGGCCTATTTAGTTCGTCATTTCCTGATATGAACTATTTAATAACCCCTTTATTAATTTTCTTTGCCGGCGGGCAGGGCTTGGGCAAAGTTCATCAAGGTGACTCCAGGCAAATGGGCAAAAAAGTTGTTTTGGTATCGACCAAAGGTAAGTAACTAAGTAGTACTAGCTAGCTAGCTAGCTACCATCTCTTTAATTCTTGTTTCAATACCATTAATTATCATGCTTGATTAATCATTATCTGATTCAATTCCATTCTCGTAAAGGCCCTGAAGTAGGCGCCGGGAAATGATCTGTGTGCATACTACGATTTGCGAGAACATTCTCATGATGGCGTCCGAAAGGAGCAGATTTCAAAGACAGGACTTGGTACGTTTGTCAGAACACTATTCACACCATTATCGATATCTAGTCACACAACTAATACACATGCATATTGATCTCCTTCTTAACAGTTCGGAGAGGTGCGGGAGCAGCTCCTACCAACGGACCGCATACTAGCACTTCAAGAGGAAAATAGCGGGATTTTTGCTCGACCAGGTCATAGATCCCCAAGGAGAATACTATTACCCGCTACCGCCCTCATGAACCACTTGTCATCGTGCTCCGAAGGCACCAAGGCAACATGTAGGAGAAATTGTATATATATATACATGTGTATGTGTGAATAATTAAAGGTGTTGGTTGTGAGACATTAGATGATATATATATGCAGTTCTACGAGAAAATCTATTTATATATATGCATAACGTGTACAATATATAGTATCGTAAAATACCAGCAAACAAAAAAGAATTAAATGGAAAACACAAAATTAATGGAAAATAAAAAATAAAACCAACCCCCTCCAAACATTTAGTACCGGTTGGTGTTACCAACCGGTACTAATGGTCTACCAGCACCCGGGCCTGGCTCGTGCCACGTGGTGTCACTTTAGCGCCGGTTTGTGCCGAACCAGTAGTAAAGGGAGGGCCTTTAGTCTCCACTCTTTAGTGCCGGTTGTGGAACTGGCACTAAAGGCCCTTACGAACCGGCGCTAAAGCCCGGTTCTGCACTAGTGGAACATGACGGTAGAATGAAGAAAAAGAATGCATCATGCATATAGATATACCTTCATGGCCTTGAAGCCCCAGTTGTTCCTATTTCCTTGGTCGTGTGTTCCATCTTTTCCATGGTTAACCCGATTCTTGCTGCTCTTGGCAGCAAACTTTGCATCGTCACCAAGCCATCTATCCACCAAACTTTCCCATCCATCATCCTTTGTGTAGCACCAAGTAGGAATAACCTAAATAATGGAAGCATGACATGTCAGCACGAAACAATGAAAATGACTGCTTATATGTTGGAATGAAAAGTCTGTAATACTTACCTTCATGTACTGCTCCCTGTTCAAGGTAAGTCGTTGCTTCTGCACTTCTTTCTTGCTCATCTTTTGATGAAGGTAGGTGTGGTAGTAGTGCGAGACGGCAACCCAGCGCACCTCGTATTGCAACTGACGAGCTTTCTTCTTCGCAGCCGCCAGCCTGCCCATTGGACTCGCCACTGCCTACGAGCACTTCTCAGAGACTCGGTCTCCTCCCACTAAACGCGCATCGGTAAAAATCTTGAAATAAATCTAGAAAAATGCAAGCATCAGGACTTGAACATTGGTGGGCTGGGGTATCAATGTCCTCATAACCATCCAACCGCAGGCTGATTCACAAATCCTTATTCATTACAACAAGTAAAATGCCATCATATTAACTCTTTATTTTATCTCCTACAAAAAAATTGCAGGGAATTTCTACAGTTATTGTTGCCATCAACCTTCTTGTAAATAAGTCACATGATTTTTTGCCTTGTTAGAAGAGAGATTATGAGGCGATTTGGAGCATGGAAAAGAAGAGGTGATAATTCTATGTTCGGAACTTCACAAATCTTTATTTATGAGCACTCATGAAAAACATCATGTTTCCTGATTCTTCATAATAAACATTTCTGAACTTTCTTTTTAGTTTCTTGTTTTTTCAGGGGGGGTTTCCAAAAATATTTATATCCATTTTGTTTGTTTTCTTATCTTTCATGATTCCTGAAATAAATCTTCCTTTTCAAAACACATTTCCTTTTTTCATATTTACTAATTTTCTATTTTTTTATTGCTTTCGTCTCCACTACTAATATAGTAGCACTTCATCAATCAAACATCTTTGAGCCAAGTATAGACAAGGGGCCAAATTTACCTGGTTTTGAATGTTATAGTGTCAGCTGTCTCATTTTATTATGGACCATCAGAAAATAATGCTAAGCTGGACAAAAGATTTCAGGGGAGAAAAACACCTTCATATATACAGCACCCTTTACAAAATTAACTAGTACAAGAATTTTGCCATACATAGACCTCAAAATATAAATAATTCAACAAAGGATAGTTGATACTTTCTGTAGCAAACTATTGCTCACTGCAAAACATATCTCTATGCTCAAGACTCATATTTTCATTCAGTTTGTCATACTGAAAGGGTACAATGAACATGTTACTACATTCTTAACCATAATGAATCAGCATCCTCTAACAGCGCTAAAATATTCGTCAATGTCATCACGGCATTCCAGAAAAGCGTCTCTGATAGCAGTAAGTTTTGCACAAACATCTTTCATTCCAGGCCTGTCCTTCGGAGCCTCCACGGTACACGACAGTCCAAGGGCAACCAACAGGACAATATATCTCTGCATCCATACTTCTGCGGACCCTTGATATTCCTCATGCGCCATACGAGGATCTAGAGTCTCCGCAACTCTATCAGGGAACATGGATTCAGAGAAAATGGGAAGGGTAAGCCCATCAATGAACATATCATCGGTTGGTCGTTTTCCGGTAAGCAACTCCAGCAGAAGCACTCCAAAACTATATGCATCAGCTCCTACGGAGATCTCGTAACCCATCCCGTACTCTGCGAAGAAGCAATGTTATAGAATAATGCACATACGTACAGGACAATGTATAATTAAGTGGAAATGAAAAAGGCAAAACTTACCAGGTGCCATGTACCCAACTGTTCCTCCAACATCATCCAGGCTTTCAGGAATAAACATATCCGGTGACAAAAACTTTGCTGAGCCAAAATCACTAAGCCGCGCGGTCATGTCATCGTCCAAAAGGATGTTCTCTGGTTTCAAATCACAATGGATCAAAGGAGGCGTTAGTTGGTTGTGGACGTAATCGAGCGCAGAAGCCACATCTGCCGCTATGCATCCTTTTACCAAAGTTTAGCACTCTGCCTGGGATCCCATTGTGTTGCTCAGAATGTAACCATCTGTCAAGGCTGCCATTAACCATGAACTTGAATATCAGCGCTTTGAACTCATGATTTTGTGAATCAAGTGTCGAGCATACGGTCACAGGACACATTATATTTCTATGGCGGGTGTTTCGTAGCACTTCACACTCAATAAAGTAACTATCACATCCGCCAGGTTCACTCAAGTTGAATACTTTGATGGCAACCAATCTCCTGTCGGACTTGAACCTACCAAAATAAACTGATCCAGTACAGGTTGAGCTGATAGTATGGAGCGAAGAAAACCAGTTGGTAGCTTTAAGAATGTCCTGATATGACACCCTCTTCAGCTTCTTCTCATCGTTGAACGGAACTGTATGCATTTCTCTTCTCTTCTGGTGGGCAAAAAAACCGAAACATCTTCTTGGACACAACAGCCAATTGTAAAAATGAGAATACCGCTCTCTTCCAAAGAGTGGGTAGAAACCATAGCAAGACTAGGAAAGCAATAGTAAGTGGTGGTAGTACAATTAGCAGCAAGGTTGCCAGCAAGGACAAATGATGCTTTGTTTTATTTGCTGAAGCTGAGATGCCAGGACAAATTGGTAATGCCAGCCTGGAGGAATTCGAACAGAGTCCCTTGTTATTATCCAAAAGTACTGCGGTAGAATTCTCAAAGATCCCACTTGTAGGAACAGCCCCTTCTAAGTTGTTGTAAGATAGATCAAGTTGCTCCAGCATACGAAGGTGCTCAAAGAATTCAGGCACGGCACCGGATAAGTCATTGTGAGAAAGATTAATCTGCACGGTTGATACTAACTGCCATCTTGCTGGAATTTGTCCATGAAACTTGTTTCCTTCCATGTGAAGGGATGTTGGACCAGCACCAGCACCAACTGTACCAAGTTCCAGTGGCAGTTCCCCAGTGAGATTATTGTGTGAGAAGTCCAGACCGAGGGAGAATGGAGGGTTAGCAAAGAGTTCGACTGGTATTGACCCATTGAGGTTGTTTCGAGACAAGTTGAGTTCAAGAAGTCCCTTGCACTGACCTAAACTACCAGGTATGTTACCAGTCAACTTGTTATCACTAAGATAAAGTTTGCCCAGTTGAGTAATATCACCAACTGAAGGAGGGATCTGACCTGATAATTTGTTCTTTGACAGATTTAGGATATATAGGTTTTGCAGCTTACCAATTGTAGAAGGTATGTTTCCAGAAAGAAAATTGTTTTCCATCCTAAGTAAAGTGAGATTAACAAGATTGCTAATTTCAACAGGTATGGAGCCTGAAATTTGGTTTGACCCAAGCGACAAATCTTGTATCCTTGTGGAAAGATTAACAACTGCTATAGGTAAGCTGCCATTCAGAGCATTCCCTTCCAAGGACAACTTTGTCAGCTGGGTGCAATTCGCTAGAGATGTAAGAAATGACCAGTCATGTGCTTCTAGCAAGTTACTCCCCAAAACTAACCGACGCAAGTTTGCCAAAGAACCAAGAGATGGAACAAAGCCATGCAAGGAGTTGTTTGAAAGATCAAGCATTTGAAGATTGGACATGTTGGCTAGTGAAGTAGGGATCAGGCCCTCCAGCCTGTTGCTTCCCATAATTAGGGACTGGAGCTTTGGTAGTGAGTGGCCAATGTAAGATGGTAACTGTCCAACAAGGCCGTTGCTGCCAACACTAAAGTTTTTGAGTGATGTCATGTTGTAAATGAATCTTGTTTTGTAGTGTGACCAATAGGAAATGGACAACGGGACACTCCCTGAGAAACTGTTGAAACTTAGGTCAAGCTCAAGCAGTTTTGTAGTGTGACCTACAGTTTCTGGAATTAATCCTGATAGCATATTTTGGCCGAGCAATATAGAAGTGAGGGAAGAAACATTTCCTATTGAAGGAGGTATGCTTCCAGAGAGGAAGTTCTCCGTCAGGCAAAGAAATTTGAGTGCTGTGACCTTATGGAAACGTGGGATGAGACCAGTGAAAGAATTCTTCTGGAGATCAACCTTAGTAAGCTTAGATAAGTTATCAAACAAAGTAGAAGGGATCTCTCCAGAGAGGTTATTACGTGACAGTATAAGTGTGTTGAGTGAGGAGCAATTGGTCAATGAGAGAGGGATACCGCCGGTAAGAGTGTTATTTCCAAGATTGACATAGCTAAGTGAATTGCTAGTGCCTAATGAATCAGGGATGTTACCTTCAAAATTGCTATTGGAAAGATTCAGTGTATGGAGGTTTGGGAGCTTACCCAACTCTCTAGGGATGGTTCCCAATAGATCATTATCGGCAAGGTTCATCGAGGATAGAAAAGTCAAGTTGCCTACACATCCAGATATTTGCCCACTGAGACGAGCCGAGGTAAGGTTAAGTGAGACCACCCGGGGTGGAAACTTTGTGCTGCAAGTGACCCCTTTCCAGCTGCAAAAGTTAAGTGAGTCATCACTCCATGAATTTAGGATGCCAAGGGGATAAGAGTTGATGCCGGACTTGAAGCAAAGGAGGCATGGCGATCAATCTCGGACTTGTTTTCTTGCGCTGCTTCGAGTGTTGTAGTGTTGAAGTTGAAAAGGATGAGCAAACTACAGAGTAGAGACAAAAGTGAGGGCATGATGCCCAGAGTTTTTACAGGATGTGGAAAAACCAAGGAGTTGGGAATACTTTAGGTTGGAGCTTGGGTGATCTTGTGTGCAGAATATAGATGCCATTTAAAGGGTTTGTCTGCCGGAAGGAATGGGCCTGGAGTTATGCACTTATGCTAGACTATTGACTTGACTTAACAAAAATGGTCGGCTGTCTCGCCCTAAACGTGTTGCAAGGGTAAAGAAAAGTAGAAGAATGAAACAAATATCTATCGAAGAAAATGTGTGCTGGCCGAGTAATGGATTGTGACTGGTAGAATCACAGTAATGAGCAAAATAAAAACTGGAAGAGGAAAGGTGGATTATTTTGACAGTGACACAAGGATGTTGTAAGACTGTCCTGGCTCATACCGTGATTGTAAGCGGTGGAGCACACATCAAGCAAACAGGATGAACAAGCCAATAGGTGACACTATGGCAAACCAAGCCATTGACGACCACTGAAGTCAGTTGTGAGATTTGGTAGCATCGACCCAAGACCAGATACAGAAACCTGAACCAGTCAAAGTGATTACACATTTCTTCACAGAACAAACTGATTCTGAATTGTGATTTCGGGTTGCACCAACATGCTTCATAACTGAATCTGAATGTGGCAACGCAGCATGGAACAATGGAATTCCGAGTAGATAACTGCATTTCATCCAAATTAGCATGGAAAATTGGGAACCTAACTGCAGGACTTAGAGCATACAAGGCGCTGCCACTTACTCTTCTTCCACGCCGCAGACACGGGGGTTGCTGCTTGGATCCAAGGTCCGAACTAGGCGAGGTTTCTGAAGGCGGAGGAGGCCGCGGGCGAGAGCGAATCCGACGGGCCGCGGGCTGCGCATCCCAACGGAGAAACCCTAGGCGAGGCTAGCGCGGCGACGGCCAGTGGTGGCGTTGTCACCGCGGCGCAACGAGCCGCGCGGACTCTGGAGGTGGCGAGGAACTTCTGGAGGCGTTCGATGGCGGCGGCAGCCGGGGAGAAGGCAAGCGGGCGCGGCGGACGGCGGGGAAGTCGCCGGAGGGTCAGAAAATCTCTCCTCACGCCGTCAAGTAACGGAGTCCGAACACGAAGATCCAACGGCTGAGAGTGCATCTTTTAGTTTACTGCTACGTTGCGTGGCTACCGTTACATTTCGGACAACTACCATACAGAAATCGATCAGATCAGATTGCATGCATGTATGTTTTGAGTTGATGACATGGCAAGATTGTTGAGGTGGATGGGCTGCATGTTGAGAGAAATAGGATAGTGGGGATGAACTATTTAGGTATTATAGATTCTAAAAAAAATTTGATACACACGTGAACTGCAGAAATTAAAGGGGAGGTATAGCGAGCGGCCGGCTGCTCGCTACCCTTTGCGAGCGGCCGGCCTAAAACATGAAGTTTTGGTCCTCTAATAATCTATAAATAGCAATTATTTGTTTTTAGGTAGAGCTTCGGAGCGGCTGGTGGAAAGAAAACTACATGGTCCCTTGTACACAAAAGGAACTTAACAATCTAGTTTGCTTTTCAATTTTTGTTTCTTAAAAAAGCCATAACTTTTGAACCAAACATTAAAATTAAGATCCATTTTCATCACTGAAATTCTCGCGATGTGCTCTTCGAAACAAGATCCCGCATGGATATGTTTTGACAAACTCTTTTTTTGCAATTTTATTTCCGTTTTGTGCAACTGGCTAGTTGTTGATGTACAATTACCTAATAGTTAATGTGCAAATTTTTCTTTGTCTATGAATGTGCAGTTTTCAATGACGACACCTCGCCTCAAACTAACCAATATTAAGTGAGATGTGCAACTTCATCTGATGCCACATCCAACTGCTTAGTAGTCGTGTGCAACTTTTCTCCTCTAGTTGGAAGTGCAATTTTTACTATTTGCTACCTCGGTCAATAGCTCAGCAGTGGATGTGCAACTTCAGAAACTGTCCCAGCCAACTACCTAACGATTGATGTGCATGTGTAACTTTCCCTCGTACCCGTGGATGTGTAGTTTTCATTGCTAGCATCCCTTCCCACCCACCCCAACTAGTGAGATGTGCATCTTGAGGGTCTCCCCTGTATACAACTTTTCTGCACCCTTATGGTCTATGGATGTGCATTTTTTTCACCATTCAACAAATCCATGTCAGTGAGATGTGCAACTTTATCTGTTACCCTGGCCAACTGCCTAGCAGATTCTGTGCAACTACTTCTATTCTATTGCCCCTGCCAACTACTTCCAATGACCGTGTCCAA